ACTAGCACTACTACTGCTACTACTACTACTACTACTACTACCACTACGACTACTACTACTACTACTACTACTACTACTTCTGCTTTCCTATACCTTCCGCTACTCCTACTACTGCTACAACTGCTACTGCTACTGCTACTGCTTACTGCTTACTGCTACTACTACTACTACTACTACTACTACTACTACTACGACTACGACTACTACTACTACTACTACTACTACTACTACTACTGCTACTGCTACTGCTACTGCTACTGCTACCACTAAACTACTACTATTAGTATTACTGACAACTGCGACCACTATTACTCCTACTTCTGCTACCACTACTACCACTACTACCACTACCACTACTACGACTACGACGACGACGACTACTACTACTGCTGCTACTGCAACTGCTACTGCTACTGCCACTGCTACGCGGAGCTGTCATAGGCCAGCCAGGTGGGTGACAAACTACTACTACGTTTGATGGAGGAAATCTTGCCCCACCTGTTTAACAGCAAGTAACACGACACGTGAGCATAACCCCACACCCCCTTTTTAATGTTCACGACGATGGATACCGAGGTGGTACGAGATTTCTGTCATTGGAACCCACGCTGCTCCGGAGGATCAAGAGTCAGTATTGACAAGGGGGCGTGGGGTCTCTGCTTTGCTCGGTCACTTAAAGTGGTGCAAGATTTCCTCCGTCAACAGTACATGAAAACATCGTCGCAGTAAGCAAGATGTATGAAATAAGTTCTTTTCGATCGGTCAAATGCCCTGAACCGAGTTTAATATACAAAACAAGTTCTGAGCGAGCAGTCTTATGCCGGTATCTAGTCTCCGAGGCGGCGCTAGCCTAGTTTGTTTGGCTTTTCTGTATGGGAACCGCTCATCAGTAACAGCATTAGAGCAACCTGTATGACAGAAATTCTGAACGATCCGTCCGATGCTCAGACGCGGGAGCTTGCAAAGAGATGTGTATGCAGCGGCTGCTTTTGTTTGGATGCATTGGTGGTCATTGACCGGCCCAGGCCTTTCTCCTTGCGCGTGATAAAGATGAGTGCAGAACCTTGGTAAAGCAAGGGGCCCTGGAAATCCTTGTCCTGACGCCGTGTGAGCGGGAGCGGCTTGCCATCGTACCATAGCAACTGTGTCGGCAACGGCAGGACGGACGTATCAAATTTCCACTCATCTAACAGCGCGGCTTTGCACCGCTCCAGACCGAGAGGAGGAAAGGAACCTGGCCGAGGCGTTGCAAGGACATTCTCAACACCAAGCAATGCGCGGAGAGGCTGTAGCAGAAAGTATTTGCTTTCGCCACCGAAGCGACCCATGAGAGCAATCACGGGCACCTCCTCACGTCTGCCCAAGGTAAGGCTACGAAGAGGGCTGGAGCAGAGGTCCACATGGCTCCGTGACAGGAGCACGGGCCAGCCAGGGCACGCTGCAGATGTTCAGTACGGGTACAAGCATGAACTGCCAACTGGTCATCAACCGTTTCCTAGGACCAGACGTCATCGATGATAGTGGACAACTTCTGCCGGCTCTTGAACGCGAAGTTCACGAGCGAAGGAGAGCCATACTGCTTCATCCATTGAAAGAGCTTCTCCGCTGCATCATGGTCGTCCGACCCGTTCCGGAAGCCATTGCACACTAGGATTGGGTAGAAGTCCAGCTCTGTAGGGCGAGGCTCCGGTCTGTCCACTGCGGACGCCGTCTTCACCTTGCACTCCCGCCTGCTACTCAAGGCCGCTGCAGTTGTAGGTTCCTGGCACACCTCAAAAAGATCCCGGTGAGGACCTTCACGTGCCCAGGCAAAAGAGAGGGGTCAAGATCATCTTGCGGCTTCCCAGGCATTGGCATGCAGCCATACCGCACTGCGGACAAATAGCCGGTGTGACTGCAGCTCCAATGGCTGGCCACCCTGTGGTTGACGAAGAGCGCACGCTTGAAGGCCGCGAGGCGAAAGTTCAGGTCTGCCTCCAAAGCAATATGCCAGTGGAAAGGTCCGACGTCCTGGCCGTCCCTTGGGCTCTGCCGCTCACGAAAGTTCACAAAAGCCACTGGCTGCACCGCCGTCCCCCAAGCGGCATTGAAAGCAGTCAAGGAGGACGCGAGCCACTGTTTCATGATCCCAAGTGCTCGGCTTCCACGTGTGTCAGGGCAGGGAGGGGGACGAGGTAGACCTGCCTACCGGCTGCGGAACACTCCGTCTCCAAGTGCTCTTCGCTCAAAAAGCTTGGCTGGCAGGAGACCCGCCTTGGGTCGCTTCCTCCAAAGTCGACGCACAGGAGTGCTAATTAAGTATGAATGGCATGGCGTCGGAGCCTCCGGAAAATGCAACCCAGCTGTGCGGGCTGCTTGCTTGAGGATGCCGACCATGGATGACAGGTACTACAGGATCTACTTGCACGCACGCAGCCACAAGATCGAGCCTTCACCATGTCACCGCGTGTATGTGTGTTCGTCACTGTATGTCAGGGACTTTTAGGAAAACGGCTGGTTTTACAGTTACCGCTCAGTTAACACTACAGTTAACGCTACCGAAAAGCTGCAAAAACCAACATTTTGCAGGATACACACAATTGAAAGAGGAACATTAGTATTTTTACTGTCTTGAACACACATTTGAGGAAAATGCTGGTTTCCCAGCATGTCGGCAGCATTAACTGTAGTGTTAAGTGAGTGTTAACTGTAGAAAATGGTACAGGCAGCACAAACACTTGCATTCAAAATGTCGCTCGTCTTTTCTGGCACTTCTGCACAACTGTCAGCAGCTGCCGCGGCAGCAAGCAACCTCACATCGTTTTAAGCTCGGTGGCACACTGCCACGAGCACATTAAATGTGGAGCTCCAGTGCATGCAAGTGTTCGGGGCATGTACAGGTGCAAGCACCACCCTATCCAGAGACCAGGAGCTCACCAGTGCGATTTCTGGCGGAGTCCAGCGAAGCGGAATGGAACGGACGCCTTGGATCGAACTGGAGTACCCGACATGTAATGAAAGAAGGCACAGCGTGCTCAAACTGTTTTTCCTCTGCGGGCTTCAGCGGATGAAGTTGCTCTGCTTCTCCAGATCAAGCTCCACTTTCTTCGAAAAAGTGGCCTTTGGCTTCAAACAGCCTCTGGCAACGATGTTCCATGTCACCAATGGCACTCGTGATGAGGGACTCTGGCAGCTTGCGAGCTGTACGACGCAGGCGTGCCAGGTACTTCGGCCGGGTTTCCCGCTTTGCAGCTGACCACTTGGCCTCTTGGCGCCTGAAGCGCCGGTTGATCTCCGACCAGGTACAGAAATCCATGGGGTTCAGGTCCGGGGATCTTGTGGGTATTGCAAAGGTCGAAATGCCGCTCTCACACTTCGCCATCTTGCCCTTGTTGGACTGGAAGCCGGTAGGGTCGTTAGCCTCGAGCACGGCATGCTGACGCCGGCGGGCCAAGCACGCTCCAAAGTGGCTTTCAAGGGACCAACATACAAGTCCGCAGCAGCCTGTCCCGCATGCCAAAGCAGCAGTCTACCCTTGCCGATGGCGCCCATGACCAAGGAGCTCTTCGAACGTGTGCTTGCGGCCAGACCTCTCTTTGGCTTGACGTAGCCACCACTCAAGCCGCGTCCAGGAACACGGTAGGCACCGAAGGTGCGATGCTGGGCCGCCATCTTCCTTGCAGCCGACGTCAGGTAGGTCTTGAAGTGCTGTCCATCAAGAAATGCCTGGGTCGGTCGTTGGCAGAGATGCTGATTTATCAGAGTCTGATTGAAGAGTCTTCTGAGCCACGGAGACAAAGAAAACATGTTCAGCAGACAGCCCAGGAGCATGGACGTGGCTATTCCACCATGATGCAGATTTGTCCTTGTACTGCTTGGCGAAGGCGAAGCGAGCTCGGATGTCTTCTGCAGCCAGTAGGGGCTTCTCACGAAGCTTCCGAAAGTAGCCCCCGCGACGATGACAGGCTTCCAAGATGATGCGCTCGCTAACCCCTGTTTTGGCGGCTTTGCGCAACATCTGCACTGTCACATGGTACTTCGCATCGGCGGAGACAATCATCTGGTGCGGGCGACGTAGAAGCTGATCGACTTGAGGCTCAGTTAGGTGTCGACGGCCCTGCTTCTTACGAGGAACTTGCTTGACGTGATGCAACTTGTCACGGCCAAGACGTTGAGCTATTTGCGACGGTGCCAACGCTTCCTGATCGTACCACCTCTGAGCAAGCCGTATCTCTTCGGAAGACATTTTATCATCCATGTCCGAACCATGGCTTATGAACAGAGGCGGGAAGAGGCCATGCTACGCTGGGCGACTACATGAGGCCTGAGTCAGCTGGGATCTAGCAGCAGGGCGGGAAGGCAATGTTCATCAGTCACGTCGCACGCGTGGGCAAGTCAATGCTTATACTTCAGGCAATGTCGCGAGCACCTGACGGCGCTAAAAACAAGTTGCAGACGCAGCCGCTGTCGCTATCGTAACAGCCTTATCTTTTTCATTTCAGCCAAAGGCATGCCACAAGTCGTAGCTTCGGCCAGCTCCGCTAGCCCGAAAATGGAGAATGGAGGCTCGACGCTGTGGGTCTACCCTGGAAGCCACGCAAACACTTTTGCTCGGACCGGGTGTCGGCTTGCGTGGTTTTGAACCGTACCTAGCAGCATGCCGCGCCTAGGAACTTGCGGTATCGCATTCTTGGACATGTGCTGGGCTCAGCCTATACAGACGATGTTACCCGTCACAGGAAGCATGGTAATGTTTAGTAAACATGCCGGCTGTTTTTGTCACCTCAGCAGAAGGATCCTGTCGGTTGATGGAGGAAATCTTGCACCACCTTTTTAATAGCAAGTAGCACGACACATGAGCATAACCCCACGCCCTCTGTTTAATATTGACGACGATGGATACCG